TAACAACAAAACAAATTGAAAGCAAATGGAAAGGTAGAACACAAAACCAGAAATCAGTACAAGGAAAAACAATACAAGAAACATAATAAATAAGAATCCACACATATTTATTCAGTAATATCAAACAGTCACATTTGTCATTGATTCTTTCGGTGAGGATGCTTTTGTTACAAAATTACCTCATCTTCTTTACTTTAAAAGAAAGCTTCTCTATAACTGTGTAAAAACAGTGGTTTTTTCAACCTGGAGAGCAAAATACAGCCTGCACACTTTAGAAAAAGTATAGTCATTCAGTCTCACAGTAAGAACTCAATCAAAGCTTTGTCCTTTCTGAATGTGTGCTCATTTCTGCACTGAGTTTCTTCCTTTCAGGTGTTTTATGTTTGCAGCATGAGGCCACTTCATTTTAAAACGTGCAACATTGTGGCATCTATGCCTCCTCTGTCAGTAAGCCAAAGTCATAAAAGTAACTGTGTTCTGACTACGTGCATCACTGTTAGATCTGTCTTTTACATAAGTGTTTATTTCAACATAAAGCAGAACAGGTTTTTCCTTATTAATAGCATTATTTTTAACTTATTTTCCTCAAACATTTGACACTTTATTTTATACAGATATCTGTCTGCACCTGAATAAACATTAATCAAATAAAAGCCTAGTATCGCTTGAAGGAATTCATATTGCTCACCATCTATCATGCTTAAAGTTACAAAAACATTATATTTAAGAGGAGAATTTACAGCCACTTTGGTCAAAACTTTGTAAATGATGTTATGGGCGATCTCATGCAAAATTTCATAGTTCTCTGAGTGTGTTGACAGTGACTAAGCTACTACAACATCTCAGTTCCATATTTTAAAAATTATTAAAATATAGCCATTTATAAGTTTGATAAAGTTTACATTTTGGACTGTGTTGTCTCCAAATGGTAACCAGTTATAGACATTCATCTAGTTGAGTTTCATAAAAAATCATCCAATACTTAATTAAATATTTTGCTAACAGACAGGCTTGACTCTAATAGTTACTGTAATGTAAATAAAGTTGCACAATATGTAGCACTCAGTATGTGTTGGGAATAACCTTTTTACAAATACTCATACAAAATGCCCTGGTACTCAGAACAATACCAGTCTCAATAATCCACTGAATGTGTTACAATTTTGCAACAATATATCTATCTATCCATCCGTCCGTCCGTCCGTCCGTCCGTCCGTCCGTCCGTCCGTCCGTCCGTCCGTCCGTCCGTCCGTCCGTCCGTCCGTCCGTCCGTCCGTCCGTCCGTCTATCTAGATAGACAAAAAATTTTCATGCTTTTTTGATTGCCCAGTGGTGAGCAATAAATACAGTAGTCTCAGGTAAAAAAGATTACTTTAATGCAACATTAACAAGGATAACCGCTTTGGTTTTGATCACAAGAGAGATGAAGTTCTGCAGTCTTGTTGTTGCTCTTCTATAAATGGTTACCTTTCTGCTGTCAGCTGTCTTTGCCTTGTCAATAATTCAGCAGTCAGGCCGTGCAATGCTTTCCATGTAAGCTGTGTTGGGAGGTTGTTAACATCTTGTTACGTAGACATGCAGCTACAGCCCTGAAGGCTTCAGTGGGTCATTTCCACAAACAGATTTTAAGGATCTGCTTAGTTTCTGCCGCGAGTGTGCAAACAACACTTACTGTCTTCAATTATAGTCAAGAAAGTTTACTTCAGTAAAGCCGATCCACACAGGCTGTTTTCACATTAGCTTCTAACATGCGGATAATTCATTGCTAATGTTTGTAATGCATTCACATAAAGAAATGCAGAAACTAAAAGTTTCTTTTGGTGACGTTGAAGGAAAGAGTTTCTCCCGGAACAGAAACAAGCAGTTCTAAGCAGATTGTGCAGCTGCCCCATTAATCTCACTTATCATCAGTGGACGAGTGACGGAGCGTGGAGGGGTGAATGTACAGTAACACTGTGGAAGACGAGAAATTCACCAACTCCCACAATGCATCATTTATAGGCAAAGTTAAACTCCACACTGTGCTGAAGGAGCAGATTCTGTGTAGTTCATTAAATATTTGATACAAACATCACTTTTGCTAAGAACACTATACTTTTACTGCACCAGCAGCATTTTTATGTCCAAGCAGAATTACAGAATTGCAGATCTACGGATGTTTAATTCTGTTTTAGTCATCTATATTTGGTATATTTTTGAATCAAAGGCACGTAAATGAAAATATCGTTGAAACCCATTTTATAACCTGCTGCCCTGAAAAGACAGTCTGTGTGTACATGTACCCATTTGTCAATCTGTTAGCAAAATACAGCGGGTAAAATAAGTATTGAACGTGTCACCATTTTTCTCAGTAAATATATTACTAGAGGTGCTAATGACATGAAATTTCCACCAGATGTCCTAACCCAAGTGATCCATACATACAAAGAAATCAAACCATAAAAGTCCAGAAAAAAGTTATTTGTAATAATGTGGAATGGCACAGGGAAAAAGTAGAACAAACTTACTGAAATTTATCTAATACTTTGTACAAAAGCCTTTGTTGTCAATGACAGCTTCAAGATGCCTCCTGTTTGGAGAAACTAGTCGCATGCATTGCTCAGGTGTGATTTTGGCCCATTCTTCCACACAAACAGTCTTCTTTCGTGGGCCTCTTCTATGAACTCTGATCTTTAGTTCTTTCCATAGATTTTCTGTTGGATTCAGGTCAGGTGATTGGCTGGGCCATTCCAGCAGCTTTAGTTTCTTTCTCTGAAACCAGTTGAGAGTTTCCTTGGCTTTGTGTTTGGGSTCATTGTCTTGCTGAAATGTCCAGCCACGTTTCATCTTCATCATCCTGGTAGATGGAAGCAGATTTTTATCAATAATGTCTCTGTACATTTTTCCATTCATCCTTCCTTCAATTATTTGAAGTTTGTCAGTACCATATGCTGAAAAACAGCCCCACGCCATGATGTTCCCACCTCCAAACTTCACTGTTGGTATGGTGTTTTTGGGCTGATGTGCAGTGCCATTTGACCTCCAAACATGATGTGTATTCTGACATCCAAACAGTTCAATTTTGGTCTCATCTGACCAGACTATATTCTCCCAGTATTACACAGGCTTGTTTAAATGTTGTGCAGCAAACTTTAAAMGAGCTTCAACATGCTGTTTCTTCAGCAGTGGAGTCTTGCATGGCAAGCGTGCATACAGGCCATGGTGGTTCAGTGCATTACTTATTGTTTTCATTGAAACTATCATACCTGCTAATTCCAGGTCTTTCTGAAGCTCTCCACAAGTGGTCCTTGGCTCTTGGACAACTCTTCTGATAATTCTTTTCACTCCTCTGTCAGAAATCTTGTGAGGAGCACCTGGTCGTGGTCGGTTTATGGTGAAATYATGTTCTTTCCACTTCTGAATTATGGCCCCAACAGTGCTCACTGGAACCTTCAGAAGTTTAGACATTCTTCTGTAACCGATGCCATCATTATGCTTTGCAACAATAAGGTTGTGAAGGTCTTGAGAGAGCTCTTTACTTTTACCCATCATCAGATGTTTATTGTGTGATACCTGGTCATCATCTGGGTCTGAACCAGCTGATATTAATTTGCACTGACAAGGGGCAGGCTTGCTTTCTAATTAATGAGAGAGTTCAGCTGGTGTCTTGGCTTTCCATGCCTTTTTACACCTCCCTTTCTTCATGTGTTCAATACTTTTTCCCTGTGCCATTCCACATTATTACAAATAACTTCATTTCTGGACATTTATGGTTTGATTTTTTGTATGTATGGATCACTTGGGTTGTTACCGACATCTGGTCAAAATTTCATGTCATTAGCACCTCTAGTAATATATTTACTGAGAAAATTGTTGACGTGTTCAATACTTATTTCACTCGCTGTATCTCATGAACCCATATATAAATTGTAGTAAAAATTGTAAAAGCATAATCATTGGATGCATGTCTACAGCTAAACCTATTTAAAAATGGCCGCCACAACTATTCAGTCTTAGCAAACACAAAAATGTCTCGTAAGTCAGTTTGATCCGTACTATAATTTTGTGCGTGGTAGCAACTGAGATTATATTCTGAGTCTTATCAGATGATGTGAGATCTTTCTTGAATGCAAGAAAGTGTTTACAGTAATCACAGCAACATGAAAATATTTTCAAAACTTAAAATTTGAGTATTTGTATATAAGATGCATAGTTTGACAATCAAATTACATTTTAATAAAAACAAAAAATGTCAATGTTTGAAAAGCTGGGGCAACTTCAAATGTCAAAAATGTGTATTATAATAGAAAAAATGTACTTTACTCTTAAATCATGTTTATTTAATCATTAATCAAGATTTGAAACCTAATCATCCTCATACTGATTTGTGTGTTTGCTTAAGGATTTGATTAATTTTTTTAGTTAGAACTCCTCTGATGAGCTTCCAGGTTTTTCACATTGCGTTTTGCTGATAACGTCTGGTACTGCTGATCACGACGCCCTGGGGTTTTCTGTGTAAGGCCTCTTTGGACTGGGCCTGTTTTAGCTGAGGAGTGTTCCCTCAACTAGTCTTGATCAGGTTTTTGTGGTATTGTTGGGTCTGTTGTCCTGCAGGGGAGGCAGCTGCCATCTGGAAGTCATGGTGTTCTGAAAGAATGTCTACGTAGGAGGCATGTGTCAAAATGACATCGGCATGAATGTCAGGACACACAGGATTCAGTGTAATGACCCAGTAATCTCCTCACCTGTCAGAGTGTTTGTGTTGCCTTGCACTTGCAACTGATCAGTTTAGCTTACTGGGATTTTTAGTTTAGAGTAAACAAACGAAATGTTGTCAAAGTGCTTATTTCAATTAAGCCAAATGCCCTGTTATTCTGTTACGTAAGCTTTGGGACACATTTAGGAAAGCTTCACTGTTGCTTACAGCCAGACGAGCTGTCCACACAGTTGGGTGGAACGTCCAGAAACCCAAATCAAATATCTTAATCTTTTTCTCTCCCTGCTTGTCTTGTTCCCATCAGGAGTGCTGTCTCCCAGCAGCAGCCATGTGAGAGGAGCTGTCAGCAGGCTGAGGATGCCCACATCCAGCTAAAACAGAACCGCCCCTCCCCTTCTCCACCTCCCCGCACCCCTGCCGCTCCCTCCCTTCTTCCCACATGAGGACAAGAAGATGACTATCACCAGCCGGCAGTCCTTTAATGTCCTGACGGTCATCTTCCTCCTGCTGTCCACTGCAGGTAAGAGACAGCCCATGAACAAGTCTGCCTGACTGGCCCTGAAAAGTTCACACTTGTCTCATTAGAGGCGTCCGCAGACATTCAGGGTGCCCCTGAAACCAGTCTCCACTGCTTTTCAAAACGAGCCGTTAAGACAAAATATTTTTTATGGATCGATGGGAAACAGAATGAGTTTTAACAATAAGAAACAAACATTCACAGCTTCAACTTTTATTTAGAAGGAGAAACTGAATAATAAAAATGAGGCCACGCGGTGTAAAACAAGGCAGTTACAACCGATCGTGACACCTAATTCTGAGATATAAAACAAAAACAGCATCTCGGTTCTGAAAGTGGGGCAGGAGGAGAATGTGTTGTTAGAGTCAAAAATCAGGACAAGTAATGAAAAAAATACCTTTAATGAGAAAATTATGTTGATGACTACTTTTGGTACCATTTTTAGATAGAAGTGCCCATGAAACCATGATCTGCTTTGAAAAAAAAAAAACAGCTGCAAGCAAAGCTGTGTGTACAGATCCACTGAGCTCAATCTGGAAAAAGGTCAAAATAAAAATATATGGGACTTGAATATATATAAAAAACAACATTAAAAAGGAGACATGCAATTTTTAGCCAATTAAATACATTTTGTTGTGTACTTGGAGTCTCTTGGAGTGCAGAAAAGTTTAATTTATTCTTTCAGGGATCTGTTTGGGTCCTATTTTTAACTCATTCTGTTTTTTCAGTTTTCTATGATGTTTTCTGAACTACAGTATTATGTATTTGCCGCAGAACTGCTAAACAAGGTCATGGACTTCAGGCGTACAAGTTTCACAGATAGGTTTGTGGTCTTCATTGTCCTCTGGCTCAGACTTTGGCTACACAATGTAAAGCTGGCTGAACAAGTTTTCTGTTGTTGACATCTTTAAATTAATTTGAAAATAAAAACGTTTCTTGGCTACTAGATAGTCTAATCTCTGCTATCAAACTACAAAAATGGCCGAACGGGGAGGAGTGGACAATGGCTGTCTCAATTCAGGGGCTGCATCCTCATGAGTGTGAGTTTGTTGGCTGCATACATCACTGCCCTGCGCCGAGTGCTGTCCCAATTCGAAGGTTCCTCCTCATGCGGCTAACCTCATTAACCTCATTTTCAGTTTTATCCTGAGTTGAAATTTTCCAAAACCAATATTGTATAGTATTGCTGCTTTTTTATTATTATTACAGCAAAGTATGCTATGACGCTCCAGTGTAAATGGCGTGAAGCTGTTGTGATGATGTGTATAAATGGGTGTGACAGAAGCAGTAGGAGGTTCTTAAAGAGACAGAGGACAGTTTCAAAGTGTTTAGAAACAGCTGTGATGCAAAGTTAACTTATTTTTATTTTATACATTTAAACAGCATTTTTATAAAAACTGAAGGTGACAGTTACTTTCTTAAGGTATAGAATTGAACTACATATGCCAGAGAAACATAATGTTGGCACTTTAAGATCAAATTTGGTGTTTTATTGTCTGAGAGTCATTTTGAGTGCTAATCGAAAACATGGGATTGTTGTTTAAAAAATTGGTATATACAGTAAGTAAAATGCATTCCTTCAAATAATGTATTTTTTTCCAAACTTAAGATCCTTTTACTTAAATGTATTAAAATTTAGTAAATAATGACACAGTTAAAACTTTTGCTTTCTTTCAGTTTCTATTTGCCATCTTAAAAAAGGTACAGTACATAAATAAAAATATTTCTAAACACTGGTCGTTTTCATTACATTTCTCAAATTCACCAAATATTTTCTGGAAGAGAAAATTTAAACAAAGATAATTTTTGCTGAGTGAAACAGATTTCTAACTTTCATGCCTCAGAACCAAAGCAACAAGCTGCAGATGTGCAGCAGCAGCTAGTTAATAGGTTTGACGTGTGAGCGCTCGCTGATGTGCAGATGATTGCTCCACTTAGAAAACCCCCAAAAAACTGTGGTTTTCAGACCACAGGTTGTAAACAAGCCATAATGCAAAAGCCCAGCTGGTAATTGTGTTTTAAATGTTTAAATAGGTGTTAATGACATGAAGCAGGTGAGAGTGTTTTCAGCTGATTCACCCCCAGAAGCAGCTGAGGCTCATTTCAGAACTTTATGGAGCGATTCAGAAGCTGAAGTCTCCATTTTTTTCTCCTTGTTTGTTCATTCAGTCAAACAGCTCAGTATGACATTAAATCACTACAAATTGTCTCGTAGTACGGAGTACATTTTAGGACATCCTCAGTTTTACTTGTCAGTCATCAGTTGTCAAAAAATATCTCTGTCAGTCTCACTGGTCAGTTTTAGTTTCATTTGTCAGTTTTCTTTTTTACTTGTCATTTTTGAGGTGAAGTGCTTTTGAACGAATGCTTCTATCTATGTTATCAGTATATTTATTTATTTATTTATGTTTATTTATTTATTTATTTACTTATTTACATTTGTTTGGCGCCTTCTGGAGCCTGCAGATTCGTTTCACATACATGTCATCAATATGCGACAACGGGCTCACATAATGCGCATCATCAACTCGTGTCAACACCTACCAGTTTCTGTATCACGGTGAGTTTAAGTTGTTCTTTTTCCAACTGTTATGTTTAATAAAGTTTCGTTGAAGTTGTACAATTTACAAAACGATATATAAAAGAAGGAAATCTATTGTCTCACAATAAACTAAACGATCATTGTGCCAGTTTATTTGTGTAGTTTGTCCTACCCTAGCTAGGTAGCTAGCGATAGGGGTGCTCTTGCAGAATCTTAATCTGTTAAGTACACGTATATGCTTTTCAGGAAATGGACAAGCTGAAAGCTTACAAGGAGCCTAAATCTACTCTATTTTTTTCCTATTTTTTATTTTTATTTTTATAATGCCACTATCAAGAGTTGTAAAAACAAAAACAATAAAGTGTAAATAAAAAAATAAATAAAATAAAATAAAAACAATAAAGTAAATTAAGATATCACCACAGCGTTACATTCATACAAGAGTAGTAAAAAAGTTGAAGTTATTCTTATATTATATATACTGTATATATACTGTATATATAC